TAATACCTGCTCTGGTATATTCCAGACAGTCATTGTAAGCCCTCCAAAAACCAAGTGAGAAAGCTTTTTTGTAATACAAAAAGGAGAAGTCCTAACACTCCTTTGTGGCCACTGCTGTACAAGACACCTGGAAAGCTACCACCTCAGCTTAGATGTATTTTACAGATCCAGAAAAAAGAAATCTATATAACCAGTTGAGTATAAAGAGTGACAGTCAGAGCATACTTGAATGGCTGGTTGAAACAAAACCCATCCATCCATCCATCATCTGCCGCTTGTCCGGGGTTCGGGTCGCGGGGGTAGCAGCTTCAGTAGAGGCACCCAGACCTCCCTCTCCCCAGCTAACCCCACCAGCTCCTCGGGGGGTACACCGAGGCGTTCCCAGGCCAGCCGAGAGATATAATCCCTCCAGCGAGTCCTGGGCCTGCCCCGGGGCCTCCTCCCTGTAGGACATGCACGGAAAACCTCTCCGGGTAGCCGCCCAGGAGGCATCCGCTTCCATGTCCCGAAAGCCAGTTTTGTCAGCCGGGGATCGGACCGCCAGGGCCTCCCTTGGCCGCCACCCGATCCACAATGCACCGAACCCCTGACATTCCCCTTGTGGGTGGTGGGCCCACCTGGGGACAGTCCCGCGTGCCTCTTTCGGGCTGTGCCCGGCCGGGCCCCACGGGCCAAGGCCCGGCCACCAGGCGCTCGCCAACGGGCCCCTCCCCCAGGCCTGGCTCCAGGGTGGGGCCCCGGTGACCCTAGTCCGGGCGAGGGAAACGGGACTTTGCTTTTAAACTTTTTCATGGGGTTCTTTTGAAACAAAACCTTGGACTGGATTTTTACTTTCTGGACCTGAAATTTCCACCTATGTGCTCCAGTAGGCATACGGCAAACCCTCAATCCCTCTATATGGAAGGGAGACACTGCAGTCATAACTAGCTTCCAAACATGTATTCTTAGTGCTGCAGACTTCTGGGAGAAAATGGTCTAAAGTCAGAGAGGAACATTCCATGTAGTACTGTGCGGTATAAACGGTATACGATATAAATTAGGCCAAAGGGAGAGATTTTGATTATACCGCCTTACCGCAGAAATTTCCGCTCCTCGCCCGAAAAATGACGTAATCAAGTCGCGTCAAATAAATACTTTATAATTTTTATGATTTCTATGAAAATTATTTATATGATTATTGTTGCACCTGGCAGCAGAGTCCTGCACGGGTCTGATTTTGACAAACTGCACCCGCCCGTACCCGTCATACTTAAACCGGTATCCGAACCGTTATCCGACAGAAATAAAATAAAATTCCGCACCCTATCTGCTATAAATAAATACCGACACCCGACCAGTCAGTCAGAAAGTCAAAATTAAAGACAAGTTTATTGCCACAACAAACGACCAGTGACATGTGCAACATCAGTTGAAAAGGCATTGCCAAATGAAAACGTTGCTTAATAACAGCCTAATAAGCAAAACAAACGGTAGTAGCCTACCTCCAAACTCAAATAGTGTTTGATATTGCCATGCTCACTAGTGATGCGCGGGTCGTCTCGTAACCCGCGGACCCCGCGGTTCGGGTAAAGAAATTGTCACTTTATTTGCGGGGCGGATCATTAAAAACAAAATTAAATAAAAAATCCTTGTATGTTGCGTGCAATTCCCTATAGCCTATATTAAATATTTGGGAATATCTATTTTCATATTTTATTAAGTTCTTTGATAAGGTTACGTCACGTGACAAGTCACGAAAACGCCAAGCAGTAGTGATGCGCGGGTCGTCTCGTAACCCGCGGACTCCGCGGTAACCCGCGGGTCGGGTTGGGGCGGGTAAAGAAATTGTCAGTTTATTTGCGGGGCGGGCCAAATAATTTCATAAAAGCGGGACCCGCGGGTTGGAAAAATACCCGACCCGCGCATCACTAATGCCTACACACAGCCTTACCAGCTTACAATCAAATGTGTTAATAAAACTAATATTATATAAAATGTACATTAGGCTACCCTGCACATTATTAGGTTTTACAGGCTACCTACATGCACTGTCCATTTTCCTTTGATTACCCGATTGGAATTCCTACGCGAAGGCATAGACTAGTGTTTGGTGTGGTGCTTTATATTACTGTGTAAAAAAGGATATCGTCCACAGTTGATGGCCTCAGCTGACTCCTTCGCTCCTGGATGACATATCCGGCACATGAGCAATCTCGCTCACTTGCGGCGCCGGATGCCGAGAATAGATCTCGCAATATGAGCAATATGGGAAACAAACGCTCATGCGCTCTCCACCAAGACAAGACTTCAAAAGAGTTGTTTTCGTTATCCAAGATAACTCCGAAATTCTCCCACACGTCGGACTTGATTTTAGTGGAGGTATTGGCCACAACTTTAAACTCTCCACTTGCTAGTTTTCTTTTCAACTCCTCAGCATCCATTTCGAACAGCTGCAGGACATGGCGCGCGCTTTTTGAAGATGAAAGTGGGAGAGATTTCCGGGGTTGGCACATGATGTTTTGAAAACTGCCATTTAGACCCGCGCTCTCCTGCGTCCGACCCGAACCTGTATCCGACACAGTAGAATATTTTTCACCCGTTTCATCAAAATTTGCGGGTCACCCGTCGGGTACCTGAACCCGTGCAGGACTCTGCCTGGCAGGACCTTTATGGGAGAGATGGTCATTCTAATATAGATGGAGTCATGACACTAGTCTAATTGTATTAGTTTTGTAGCTTTTGGTTCTGTGTCTTGTTTTTTGCTTACCTACATTTTACAAAACCAACCTATGTTTTTAATATGGGATAAAACCAGGGAAAAAAATATTTTCATATTTTTTCTATAATTGCAGATTCACACAATAAACATTCTACGTTCACAACTACTTTGAAATGTAACAGTTTATTATACAACTTCCTGCTCCAATGCCTTTGCTATGTACATATGTTACCCTTTCAAAAACAGTTATATTGAAATTTACAGATCAAATTATATAATCGTAATATATAGCGTCTGCGGTTCAAATTATACCGCAGTATGAATTTTATGCCATATTGTACAGCCCTAATTCCATGCATGGAATTTTGACCAAGGTGCGTCAGCCCTCACATGTTTGAGGATTATTGTTGTTAAAGCAAAACATCCCATTTGTATGTGTTGTAGTAGGTCTAAAAGACAACGTAACCAAACAATTGTGTCATTTGATGCTTCACAGGTCATAGAAGCAAAAAGCCACCCACTCCTCAATGCAGTAATTCAGTTTAAGCTGAGGGCAGACAAACAATTCAGTGGAAACAATCTGGAAAGATACAACCTGTACAGCAATGTGGAAGATGGTTTCACTACAAGCTCCTGAATAATTTTTGAAAAGAAAGGTCACTAACTAACCAAACTGGCAAAAATACTGTCATGCACAATGACTATGAATTCATGCGAGCTCAGAAATGGGGCAGGCACTACTCAAGGCCATCAGCAAATCTTCTCACTGTGGAAGCCCAAGAATTTGAAAAAGCCAAGTGATAAACAAGGCGGGGCACCAGTTGTCTCTATGGATTATATCAATCGGTGATTAATCTAGTAAGAACCAACCAACCATTGCAATGGCTAACAGGCTAGACTCCTGTAAAGTATAGGAGAGCTAAACAGTCTTTGGTCAAGTACTGGTGCTTATAGCAAGGGCCTGCCCTATGACAGCGGAGTCTCTGCCAGCAGCAAGCCAGCTCTAGCCCATGCTTTAAAAAGACCAGCATTTCGTTCTTAGTGCCTATTTGAGAAGGAAAACCTTGGTAAGAAGAGTGACACAAAGTGCCATGACAAAATGACACTTCATCCTGAACCTATGGGCTTCTAACTAGTGAGATTTAATTTTAAAGGAAAGCACCACTTCATGCAGGATAAACTCTACCATCTCTAAGGAGTTCTCCTGACTGGACATCGGAAGGAACTACTGGTACCATCAATTAAACTCAACTGGCTTATGTAATTCTATTTTGCATAAATGAAGGTTGTTGATGCTTTGGTATGTTTTAGTTCTTACTCTTACATATGAGATGGTCCATTTAATCATAAAAACCACAGGCTTTAGTTAAGTGGGTGGGGATATTGGCGACTATCTGGCCCAACTCACATCTGCTCTGGCTGGTTCACTGCTTGCTATTAAATCTCCCAGAGAGTGTTTGCTGTTTATAATGGTTCATACTGAACAGCAGATGTTCCCCATAGAGGTTTATTGTCCTGATATGTAGAGGAAAAGTACAGAAATGAGCCATATGTCATCTGGCTTCTGGCCCTACAGCAGGCAGAGCACTATTCTGGAGATAAGAAGGCTTATGTTCTGTCTTTCCTGAAGGCCTGAGGCAGCTCTTCCTTGACAAATTTTACCTTCTGTAAACCCACCTATGCCATAAGAAACCACTATGCCAATAAGAAAATACCTTGGGAACCAGGGTTGGGGCCATTCCAGAATGCATTGATCAATTCCAGTCCAAATCAGGAAATGGAACTGGAGCTGGGATTGGAAAAAAAACTACAGGGAACAGAATTGGAGTTGAATTTGAATTTCAGGGAGATTTAAGTTCCAACTCCAGTTCCATTTCCTGATTTGGACTGGAATTGATCAATGCATTCCGGAATGGCCCCAACCCTGTTTGGAACTGGGCTTTGTTTTACGGAAACAATAGATGGCTGGTTTGTATTAAATATGGATTCTCAGGCAAAATCAAATCTGAACAAATTCACAAAACTGAACAATGCTTCAAGTAAGAGGAAACAGGCAATTGATATACAAGTTCTGCTTTCTTAAGTGTAGTCATGCAAAACTACAACAGAATTAACTAAAAAATATTGGAAATATTTAAGTTTTTACTGGGTAGACATGACTAATGCAATGGGAGCTAGAAGAAAAACAAGAATTCAGGACAGAAACAAGATGTAGAGAAAGATGCGGGGTGAGAGGTAGGACAAGACGGTGAAGGTGCAAGCAAGGCGAGGAAAAGGGAAACAATTAAACTTAGGGACTTACATATCCATCATCATTGTCATAAGGGCTCATAGAGAAATATCCCTTCAGAGACAGACATTCACAAAGAGAAGCCATTGAAGATTACAGGTCACACAAAACAGGCACATCCACCTACCATACAACGGACAGAGAGAGTGACCACATTACGTTGGTGACCCATCACATACAACAGACTGCCTCTGATTTCATGTTGACACTTGGTGTCATGTAAAACAGGGTACGTTTTCACAAAACCATCCTGTGGAGTCTAATGGGGTGCCACACCCATCAGAATTACAGATCCTTTATCCAGTATGATTTTAGAAAGCACATTGCATATGCCAATTAATCAATATATAAAGTTTCAATGTGTAGTTTCAAAGTTAAATAGAATCTGGACATATTACACTGCCCTTTCAGTTTAGCCATTATCTAAAGATTTTCAGGGCTTGTGATGACTGTGGGGGACTTTATACCTTCCTGCTTATAAACCGCACAGGCACTTAAAGTAGCTTCTTTAAGTTATGCTGATGACCAAGCAATATAGTTTAATAATTCATGACTTCTTTTTGTGCTAACTTCTCACCAGCTGAATAAAATAAATGCATTATTGCGATCGTTTGCAGCTTTTGTGAGCAGCATGGCTGCCCTGTGACAGTAAGCAGAGCCGTGTCACTCACAGTGCCAGGTCTGGTGAAATCCATGCTCTGCACACTGCTCCGCCTCATCTGGCCACTGAAAAGTCGAATGCACACATTCTGCAGGTATTCCGGGGAGATCTGGAAAACAGCATACTCTGACATCTCCGTCCGGGGGGCGGTGTGGACACACCAGAACATCGGCATTCTGAAGTAATTACCATTTTGCCACTGACTGTGGCCTCCAGGGAGTCCACCAGCTCAGCGGTGACGCCAATGAGGTTGTGGTAGTCGGTCTGCATCTTGCCGAACTTCTTCATGTAGCTAGCCGCCCTTCTCTCGGCATCGGCCAGTTGCAGCTGCAGCTGTCGCAGCCCCTCTGCATGCGAAACATATAGTGATGCAGCCGACACAGGTCAGACGTCAAAGAATTCCTGAAAAATCTAGTAACTTGTACTTCTTTATTTTAAGATTTTTTTTAATGGGAAATAATTTTAAAATGCTCTACATAAAAGTACTGTTTAGGTAACAATGATATTACATTCACTTATCATCAGTGGCCAACTGGGGACGTCTCCCTGCCACTGCTTGCAAGTGCCCTTTTTGGGGTGTTACACCTCAGAAACTGTCCCTCTTCCATAGCCACAACCAGTAACAATATATGAATTCAAAGATTCTTAGTTAATAATAAGTACCTAAAGCTAAATAACTATTGATACTGCATTTCTGAAAAAGGCTTTGCTTAGTTACTGTATTTACTGTAATATGTCAATAGCAGCCGTGGAGTGAGCGAGCGCATGAGTTATGCGCACGACGGTATGTTTGATGCCAAGTGTCACGCATTCCAGATATGTGCACGTCACTAATGAAATGACTCACCTTTGTTGTCCTTTCCACCTTCCTTCTGAAATTTGATGTTAAAGAAACATCAACTGTTCCCAGGGTAAATATTAAGCAGGTCCTGACCAACAGGAACTGCAGTTGTAATTTCAACACAACCCCACATTATGATGTAAGCAGGTACATCTCAGCCTGCTAACACCAAAAATGTATACCCACCCCCCCATTTTCATATAACATGGGTGAGAAAGTGTTCAGTTTTCAAAGGCAGGATGGATAGTAGAAATTAAATATTTTGCCTTCTGCAGGGATAAGGCTTAGCAAGCTGGGCGAGATACATTATGAGTTGGGTGGTTGTGCGCATACTAATCACCTGTTGAACAGAAGGGTGAAAAGAGGCCTTTTCAGGGCCTCCAAATAAGCGCCTAAGCAACAGCACAGGAGAGAAACTGTATTTCATTTAGTGTGGATCTGAAACTATTATGCCCAATTAGTTTTCTGCTCATTGATTTTTTGGGGGCCAGTTTCTTTCTGTTAAATGGCTTTTTCTACCCTGCATTCACCGAAAGCGCTGGTGTGGAATAGCACTGCAATTAGATTTTAAATAGTTGGCCTTTTCCCAAACCTAGCAAAAGCCTGTATGGATCACCGGCTATTTTGAAAGGATTCGAAACCTAGGCATCATAATAAGCTGGTGCATAATGACCACGTCCTTCATAGAGAATGTACACTCACCTAGTGTCTGTTAATATATGTTATACAGAGGCTCACTGTGGCCAGAGGATACATACAAAGTAAGCAGCCTCGGAGTCCCAGAGGCTCTCAGGGTCACAGACAAAAACTTTTCTAGTTTTCTTTTCAGCTCTGGCATCCAGGACTCCTAAAAAGAATAAAATCAAGCTTAATTCTTACAGCTTTGACAGTATTTAATCAGCATTTACAGTAATTTATATATTTATTTTTGCCTTACAACGGAGTAGAAATTATTCCATAATGTATAGTTTTTTCCCCATTTGCAAGTTGTTGTACAGGGTCATACCATTCATTCTGAGATAACATGAAAATGGAACTTTTTCTGTTCTACTTAAGGCATAAAGAGATACCTGGAAGAGGCCTTTGAATGAAGGATGTGCCATTGGATTGGGCACAAAAGGCAGGGCATAAAAGGGCAGGAATTCGGTGGTCTGGCTTAGCGTCGCTCCTCTGGTCTCCAGGTAGTGCTTGAAGTGTGTGATCCGTTCCTCAAAGTTAACCCTGTCCTGAAGGAACCAACCGGCATCCATAGAGCTTAATAAACGTGCTTTGCATCACAAGTATGTTGTGCATTATATCCACAGGACTAGGATCCAATGGTGTATATGAATCAATAAAACAATAATAACAATTTCAACTACACCATTCTACGGCTCCTGAGTGATCTTAGTGTTGCACTCTTTATTTGGATAGTAGACTTATTAGGTTCTGGATTTGTTTGAAATACATTGCATAGCTTGCATTCCAAAATTGCTTAAACTTTCATTGTAAGTATTCACTGTAAGGTCAGCCTAGATGCATTTACGTCTAGCTGACTCATTGAAAGGTATACGCTTCTGATGTATTATTGGCCTCATTTGTATATCACTTTGTACAAAAACATCTGGTAAGTACAGTACATGTAATCAAAATAAACAGCAATGAAAAAAAAAATTCTTGGTAATTCATGATGAAGTGAAACGCTTTGTTCAGATCACTGGGGACACCTATTGGCAAACTGCTGCTACTTTCATCACCAGTACCATATACATAGAAATCATGTAGGACAACAGCAAAATAAATTACTTTAAAATGACTAATAGTATGTACAAATAATATTTAAGGTGCTCTTATTTTTTAAAGGATCTGATGCAAGGTACAAGAAGCCCTTACGGATCTTCCCAGGGAGTGTTTCAAAGGGAAGATGGCGAAATGGATCTGAATGTAGAACTCCAATTTCTGGGCAACTGGGTCAAAGTCTCGGATGTCGGTGGGAATGTGTGCATTCCAGAGCTCGAAGAAGACCTTCACATCTCCATCATCAAAGGAAGATAAGAAGTCCTGCTGAGGAAGGACAGTAGGGCGATTTTACAGTGCAAAATACTTTTGTCTCCAGCTGTGGGCATAATGTGGATGTGTGTGATCATCCTGGAACATACCTGCACAGCTAACACTTTATCATCTTTCAGAAGGTTCCCTGAAGGTCTTGGAGATGAGTTCCCCTTGATTTTGCACTCTTTCTCAAACAGTTTAAGAGTTTCTTCAAATTCACAAAACATCAGGTACTACAAAACAAATATGCTTGGTCAGTATTTTAAGAATTTAAAAAATTACAAGCAACAAGAACACACAAATTCTTCATAAATAAGAAAACCCACAGGGCAAGAATGACTGATGTGATGCTCCATTTATGCTTTAGCAGTAATATATAAATTTGTCTTATTGATTTATTATTTAAGTCGGTGCATAAGTAAATGTTAATTAAAAATTTCTAAACATTCTTCAGTTCATCTTCTGATTTTTTAAAAAACAATTCCTTATCTGCAAACTACTGTGATCAAATTTTTAAAAAGCAGAAACCTACTGATTTACTTACATCGACAATTAATAAAATGTTTACTTCAATGAAATATAGGCTGCAAATCGTTATGTTCCCATTTTAAACGATTATGATAGATGTCAATTTGTCTGCAAAACTGGTGTCCACCTAGTGCCACCATTATATGATTATAATAAACCAGGCATTAATTTAGGTATCTGATTAATGAGGTAAATCCTTCTTCATTCAGGAATGACAGAAGACATCACTGGATTAACAGAAGGTAAGTTTCACCTCAAGTACTCATAAAAATATTGCTATTTCCCAGCAAACATAAGCAATTATGCAGCTCTTTGGTATGATACAATTTAAATGTTAATTTGAAAACTGTTCCGGAATAGACATCCCACCCAGTGCGGCCCCAGCATTGTGCCGTTTGTCACTAGGCCCCACAACCCTGTATACAAAAGCAGTTAGAATACGTATGGATACGCATTTCAATATTTTATAAATTACATAAACATTTCACTATGATATTGGATTCAATGTTCGCTGAGCTACCACTATGCTAAAATATTAGCCATTTATCTGAAAATAACCACTGCTGTGACAGTCATGTCCTATGGTGTGAAATGAAAAGTGTCACACCAGTGGAAATAGCATCACATTGGTGAATATAGACCCTATTAAAGTTTTTTTTAAATTATGCATTTCGTTTAGGTTTTATGATTAGTTAATTAAGCAAAATATCATTGTTTGTATCTTTACATGGGCAGCACAGTGGCGCAGTGGTTAGCGTTGCTGCGTTACAGCAAGAGGGTCCTGGGTTCGGTCCCCGGGCTGAGCGTAGGACCTTTCTGAGTGGAGTTCACACACTCTCCCTGTGTTTGCGTGAGTTTCTGCCGGTAGCTCCAGTTTCCTCCCACAGTCCAAAAAAAGTGTGAACGATAGGTTGATTGGCAACTCTAAGTTGGCCCTGTAATTGTGTGCCCTGCAGTGTATTAGCGACTGACCAGGGTTGGTTCCTGCCTATGCCCATTGTTCCTGGGAAAGGCTCTGGTCCCCCCTGCAACCCCAGTTGGGATTAAGCGGTTACGGTAATAGATGGATGTATCTTTACAAGTTCATAAATGCACATTTAACAATCAGTGATCATTACTTTTTCATAGGCCTTAGATATCAGGAGAAGAAAAACATGTTGAGGATAGATTGTTAGTCAGAGTGACATCACTGTCACCAGCAATACTTTATGAAAGCAGCAGTGAGAGAAATGGAGAATGTCAAAAAGGAGATACAGGGCTAAGTGACCACTGCGAGTGCCAGTTGTCACTGCGGATTTTAGGAGCACTGCCTTTCATACATTTTATCCTGCTTTTCCATCTTATCTGCATGTCCTGACTGACGAGGGTTGGAGTCTATCCCTGGCATCATATGGCACAACATTGTAATGCACCCTGGATGGGAGGCCCATCCACAACAGGAACATACACAAACACATACAATCATACACCTTGTCAAAATGCAGAGATGCTAACAGTTTTTTATTTTTTTTGTCCAATGGTGCGATATGATGTGGCATGATGAACAAAAGAAATAAATAAGTCTGCCATGCAAATTCCTGAGAAGTGCTGCAAAGAATTGGAGTAATACAATCATTAAACACAAGTAAAAGTTTATAATGTATATCACTGAAAATGACCTAAATGTACATCATTTAACACAAGAATGAAATTCAATTGTAAACTTTTGTTGCTAATGTATAATTAGGACGCACTGATGAAGATTAATCACATTTTCTTGTTTGTATGACAAACCCCGAATCAATTATTATCTTTTGAAATGCACTTACCTCCTTAACCATCCCCAACAAATCCGCTTCATAAGTCAAAACGTCTCCCATGTCAAGTGTCTTTTTGGTATTCATATGAGGATTGCAGTGATCAATAACTACTACTTGTCTGGAATGAGATGGTATCAGATGTGAAGCGAAACAGACAACCACGGACCACTGAAAGACTCAGACCTCATTCTTAATTTACAGTACAGTACAACTGCTTAAAATTATGCGGAAATTTTACCTAAGGCGGTTTAACTGGAGAGGATTTCTACAGATACACTTTGATTTAATGTAGATAATTCGCCAAATCGTCAAATTAGCCGTTTATTTCTTAAACAAACAAATTCTTACGGTGTATGGCGCCATGAAGAAATTTGACTGAATCTACATCTTACCAACTACATACCTATGTTTATCCGGTTCAAGTTGATATACTTGTATCTAACGTTACCTGCCCGATTTTACAGTAAAATGCAACTTCTATATAACGGCGCATATTTACTGTGGCTCTATCAGCAATATCGTCTGTTAATTAAAATACCTAAGCCTATGTAAACAAATGCACTGCAAAATACAATTAGGCCTCGTTTAAATGCTCCCATGCTTTTTTTTTAAGCGCGATCTTACCTTCAAGCTCCAAAAAGTCCGTTTCTGGGCCGATAACAAAACAATCAGTTCCTTAACATAGCAGTAGATATTTGCTCCAGCATTGCAAAGCTAAAAACTGCACGTTATCAGCCATGATGAGCAGTAAAGAGAAGACGCTTTCGCAAACGCCTGGCAACGGACGTCACCACGTCGCTGCGGCGCTCACGGGGGTGTCGCTTGAAATCGAAAGGGGATGGTCATTTTTTTTTTTATTTCAGCGGCAGCTGCCTATCCGAGCAGTATGCTTATTAGTGTTATCCGCAGTTGTTAGCGCAGCTCTGATACTTCTCGCTGCATGATACTCGTATGACATAATAGTAAACGGCCGAAAGTGATTGAGAGTGCCATCGGTATTCATAAAACTATACTTTTACAGTAAAACTGCGTTATGGCGTAACTTTAAACATATATCAGTGGGTTGTCGACTATGACGTTATGAATAATTTGATGTTATGAGTCGTATGAGTTGGTAATAGTGATCAATCAAAAATATCCGTATGGACGCCCGCTCGCCAGTCGCGGTATGTTAAAATGCTCTTAATAAATCAAATAAACGATTCCTTTATATTTCAAGATAGCTATGAGACTGCAATTTAAAGGACTGACTCTGAAGTGCATATTTACGGATCTGATGAAAACGTCTGAGCGGAATTTGGAGGTTTCCGTTAATGCTTAATTCTAAATTACCGAAATAATTTTCTAGGTTCATCTCTAGGATTTTTGTCTGTGTTTGGAGTTCAGATAAGAAATATACCATGTTTATAAAGGTAGTCGATTCTGTGAACTCTATGATCTTCTTAACTAGCTTACTAATACAATGAAACCCTTAGTGCACTAGATGTCTTCGAGATTAAATGTGAATTTTATTGACTTTATGACGTCTAGATCAAAAGATGCACGTATTATGCATGAATCTAAACATTTGTAAGAGCCCTACTATACAGGAAAAGACAGCCACAATTCACTCACTGCTTTTGTTTCAGAAACAGGATATCTGGTCTTCCCCATAAGGACATGGGCTATCAAAGGATCTTCTGTGACAACATGGTGAGGCTCAGCACTTTCAGGTCCTATCAGATAGTTTTGGTCTTTGGAGCTGCGTTGGCAGTTGTAGCCTTTTACTACTTTGGATCGGAGCAAGAGAACTTCTCTAGCACCACTAAGCGCATTAAGCAAACCCAGACCATCCAAAACAGCAACCGAAATGAGGCCGATCCATCAGCGGATCCTAGGCTAGAGCAGACCAGCAGAAGGACAGCAAGAGAACAGCTAGAAAAAAGAAGGGCCGAAGGAGGTTCTGAGGCTGTTCAGCACTACCATATTCTTATGATGTTTACCAAAGTGGATAAAAGCAAGGCACTCCAGGAGAAATTCGAGATAGCCATGAGGTCCATGGTGAAGCATGCTAGGTTCCTTGACAAGGAGATTCTGGTCTTTCATTTTGTGAGTGATGAAGGCAGTAGAGAACTTGGACAGAAGATACTTCCAGAGTTTCTCCAAGATGCATCTTTTCAGTATGAGGTAAGTTCAGTGGTAATACTCTGTCATTATTGGGGTGAGCAGAGGATTCATTTGCTTTTTAATTTGGTAATTGGCTTTTTCTTATTGGCCAGTTGTAATGTTAGGATCATTCCATTTTAATTCAATGTATCGTAACATCTCATGGGCCGAGGCATCACAGGAGTGGCAGGAGATCAGGAGACTTGTTTAAGCATAAAGAACGCCCTTTTATTAAGCCCTTTAAAGGACTAACACACTCAGAGATCGAACGACAGACAGTAAGGCACACACAAAGTATTTACAATAACACAAACAAGGGGTTATTTACACATTTTCCTGGCATGCTCCACGCTGTTACTGGGCTCCACTATGCAGAGCCATCTCGCAGTGCAACACTGTCCCCCTCTTAGAGATCAGTCGTGCAGGTGACCACCACAGCAAGTCCTCTGCTGCATTCTCCACAAATCACAAAGGACTGGTGGCAGCCGCCGGTGCTGCCTCTCAGGTGATTGCGGACACACTGAGCAGCTGGGGACCACTGGCAGGGCAGGAGGTCCCCCAGGGTCTCGGCCCTTCTTTTTTCACAGCTTGGTGGGGACCTGTTGCTGACCGCCAGGCTGTTTCCTCTCCTGGCCCTCTTGCTCCATGACTCGGCTGGCCTTGCGCTAAGGCTGGGCGATATCATATCGATATTATATCGTGCATGCGCAATAATCACCAGGGCTTCAGATGACAGACAAATCATTTCGGCGCTATATGGACATTTATTTACGCCCATAATTTGGTAAGAAGATTAGTAGTATGGCTTAAATATTAATGAGATGTGTTAGGTGATACCCAAAAGTTAGTAATCTGTATGAATGTTTCTTAAATTTGTTTAGCAGAGCACCCCATATAATACTGTTTTGGTATACTACGGTTTGGTATACCTCAGTGCAATATGCACTGAAGTCGCGGTGAAGAAGAGCAGCCACCACATCTTTTAAAAGAGGAGATCTTGTGGATAAACAAGGTAAAAAGACATCGGCGGTGTGGTGGTACTTTTTGCAGTTCAAAGTCTGACACATTTATTAAACATAATATGCGGTATTTATACTAATAATGAATTTTGGGTGTCATACAAAGCCTAATTAATATTTTAGCCATACTACTAAACTGCTTAACAAATTGTCGGCGTAAATAAATGTCCGTATAGCACCGAAAAGCTGCCGCATGACCAAATGTTGCGCCTGTCATCTGAAGCCCTGGTGATTATTGCACATGCGCGATGCAGTATTGATATATCGCCCAGCCCTACCTTGCGCAGCCATTCCCATTCCGCCAGCTGTTCCCACAGCCTCTCCCGGCTGCACCTTCCCTGCTTCAGAGACTCGTGCAGCTGCTGTTGGTCCTGCTCACCCTGCTTTCATTGCTTTGCTAGCTCACTATGCTCCTAGGTCAATTGGGCCTGCAAAGTGCAACACCGCTGCTTAATGCCGCCTCCTCTGCCTTGGCCTCATGCTTCCGGTGGTTGTGCTCGCACTTCCAGCTGGCCAGTTCCTTGCTTAGCCACTCCTGATCCTGTTGGGTCTGCTGTTACTGCTATTAAAGCTCACAGCACTCCTGAACTAGCTACAGTAGGCCTCCAGCGTATGGCATGCCTCTTCACAACTGAGCCCCAGCCTGCTGCCTCTGTGGGTCACGCTCGCAGCTGGGGTCATGCCGCAGGTCCTCGCGAGCAGACAACCTTTGCTGGCTGATGAGCAAACAGAGTCTCCAGGAACTCCTTCCTTCCCCAGTCACCAATGCTGTCTCAGCTGGGGAACTGGTAGGATGGCAGGAGTTGATTGGGTACGGGGCACTTTGGTAGGACGGGGTGATGTCTCCCTCAGTCCAACATCCCCCGTTCATCTGCTGGCGACTCTGCTGACTCAGTGTGCCCGCTGCCCTTTCTCCCCGCAGCACCAGCAGACGTGCTTTTTCTCATAGAGCACATGGTCCCAATGCTCCATGTTGTTACTGGGCTCCACATAGCAGAGCCATCTCGCTGGCAAGACAGTATTTTCAAAAAGGCTTTTGCATTGTTTTTATGAAATTTGCCATGTAAATTGCTCATACCTGCCAGAGCTCAGAAAGGTTTTTGTCTTTTTTAAAAAAGATCCTTTTGAGTAATAAATTTTTACACTGTGGGTAAGAAAACAAATAATAGTTAGAACTAGGTGCTTACCCACTGAAGTTCAGGAATTTACTTCCTGATTCTGAGTTCCTGGGCTGCCATTACCAGGAACTTTTGTAGTTCCTGGCTCCTTTTGTGTGTTGCTTTCCCACTGTACAAGAAGAACATGTTTTCTGTATGAGTGACCTGTTCAAATTCATTTAACAACTACATAAATTCAGGAACACAGATCAAGTTGAAATTTAGTGGACATCACCTGAAGGGCAGAGGTGGCAATTTCAGGTCCAGAAATTAAAAATCTAGACCATGATTTACTTTCAACCAACCAGTTGAGCATAAAGAGTCACAGTCACAGAGTACTCAACTTTTTGGTTGAAACAAAATCTTGGTCTGGATTTGTGCTTTCTGGACCTGAAATTTCCACCTGTGCTGAAGGATCTTATTTATACCTGTCATGAATTTCAGCTGAATAGCATAAATCCATCCATTCATTTTCTGAAACAGCTTATCCTGTTCAGGGTCATGGGGGTCCGGAGCCTATGGGCAATATGGTAACTCCAGTTATCCTCAGCATGATTTGGACTGTGGGAGGAAAGCGGAGTACCTGGAGGAAAACCCACAGCAACACAGGGGAACATGCAAATTCCACACAAGACTCGAACCCAGGTCCCAGGTGACAGTGTTTTTGGGTGGATAGTATTAGGATTTTGCACAAATTTCTTGCAAAAATGCATTTTATATAATTTCTTAGATGAAAATCCATGACATGACCTGCACGGCTCTAGGTGAGTTGGTGTGGAATGACCCTTGTAATTTAATGTGAAACTACGCTGTCAGCCCAAAACTATGGAGGATAAACAAATAAAGACAAATGGAGACGCAAGCAAAAAGGTACTTATTAATGCGTTTAATATAACTGAGATAATAACATCTGCTTAATTTTTGCTCCATGGCTTGTATTTCTTTTCTCCATACCTCTGTATTACTTACAAGTTAGTGTCAGGGATGAAAAGGCTCCTCTTAAATGAGGCTTTAGGTACTGTTATTCCTGGGAAAGCTGGGCTTGCTGATGAAATATCAAGATTCCTCAGCCTAACATTGGGAGGCAGATACAGGGTACCCCCCCCCCAATTCCTTCAGCTCTGAACAAACACCAAATTTTTTTAAATGCACAATTGGTGGTGCAAGTGCCATTTTTTTAATTCAATGGAATGACCTGTTAGAAAACATGGATCTGTCCATTCTAAATAAAGCATCAAATGTGGTGACCTACTTTTAGCTTCCTTATAGTTAAGAAAACATGTTGAATTGTTACCAGTCATTGCATGGCAGAATATTACATGAAATGTCCACATGGGGGCAGTGTTGGAAAAGGTTGTTTTCCCCCTTTGCTTTAAAACCATTGATGTCTCAGCCACAGGAAAGGATGAAGCTTCACCTTTTGCAGCCTTGGGGAGTCTCCAACTAGCGAAGTGCGACACTGAGCTGGGTTCCCTCACTAGCCTGACTTTGAGAGGCAGAAATACATCGTACCCCCCACCCCCAAATTCCCTCAGCTCTAAACCAATGCCATATTTCTTTGAAATCACAAATGGTGGTGCAAAGGCCATTTTTTAAATTAAAATGGAATGACCTGGCCAAATACATACATTACATATTGTAATTGCAACATATTAAAAATGTTTTGGCTATTTTATGTTATTTATGGAGCATGATCACTGGCCTAAACAATGTTTACTGCTGTACTATATGACTGTCAGCACGAAATAATGTAAGCCAAATTATACACAAGCATATAAATGTTTTTTTATTTATTTAAACACGCTAAAATGGATTGGACAATCAAAGATTATTTTCTGTTGCCATTCTTAAATTATGCCTTTTAATTACTAAATACAGGGAAAGTAATATTACAGTACAACTTTATAGAAAGACATCTTATTACGAAGACATACAGAAAATTTATTATTTTTCAATTATACACCACTCTTTGTTGCAGTGTAGGTTACATACAAATAATATTGAACATTAACATTTTGTTGCCTTTATTACCCTACTTGACTGCTGTATTACCCTAACAAATATGAAGTGGTAAAAAGCAGCAGTTTGAAATGGTGAGTGTTGGGAGTTCAATGAGCTATGCTGTTAGTTCTTTATGTGGTCAGATGCTTTTTATATAGAGTGGCATCTCTCCCAATGGAGCAGTTTGTACCAGTGAAAATCGATACACTTTTCCTAATGATGGAATATGTCTGTTATTGCTACAGAACAGTGCTCAAGAAACATAAAAGCTGGCTGCTAAACTGTGTGCTCTGGACAAGGGTCAGATGGTCATTTGACTAGCAGATGGCAGGTATCTGTCAATCTTCAATAACCACTCATCCAGTACAGAGTAATGTGACCAGATAATCCATGTCAAGGATGACGCTTTGAGCTACTTCAGATTTAACAAACTGCTGTAAAACTGATAGGCTTCTGTGCTTGGCTAAATAGTTCAGCTCTTCCTTGACTGGTTTGTTTCCTTGATTAAAACACTCTTCTAGCTGTTTCACATTAACATTACTGACACATACATGATTATAGGAGACGGACCAATGAACACACTGCAAGAACTCGGTGCTTAAGTGTAATCTGGGTACTTATAATTGAAATGAGTTTACAAATCCTGTTCTAGCTCAAAGTGTCCTCCCTAACCCTAACTCCCTGGATTATCTGGTCATCCTAATAGAGCGTTGTTTGTGGCTTTGGAGAATAACTCAGGAAGCACAGGGGACAGCTTGGACAAGATTCTAGTCCATCACAGGTCTCACACACACACAACAATAGTTTGTAGGAGATTTTGTATGTGGAAGGAAACCTACATGAA